TCAGCAGGATGATCTCTCAGGTCTTCATCTTGTCCTCGAAGGGGGACCATCTCATTTATAAAGACTGTATCCTTCTGTTCCCACAGCTGGAAACAGCTCAGGACAAATGAAAGCTGTATGAATAAGTGTATTAGTCCCCCATTAAGTAAACTTTAACTGTAAACATATTTCGGCAGTGCCGGACCTCCATACTGTCGGTTGTATGGGGACAATTCTGAATCTGAAAACTTGCTTTATTTATTTTGTGTGTAAACATCAACCTTGACCTGACCCACCAGTCCGTGGAGAAGCTGGTAACGACATTGTCAGTATTTTCTACGAGAAGGTCACGGCGCTGACCGGAGACCAGCCTCCGGTCGTCATGGTAAATAAGTTATGGCTTCTTTTTATTGAGACACGCATACCTGCTGATTAATGCTCAGGACCATCCAAACACACAAAGTGGAGCTCAGACTTTTTGAAGGGTTTGTTGGAACAGTTAACCTCACAGCAGTTCGATTATTGGTCCGTGTGACTGACTCGGACTCCACATGATGTTCTGGTGTCTGTTTTGGTTCATTTTATGTAGCTCCCAGTGTTTCCATGATGTGGTCAGCTTTCCAGCTGCAAAAGCTGCTGCAATGCAGCAACATCTGCTCTCTGTCCGGACTTTGTCCAGTCAGCTCATAATTAAAAACATTTAAACCAACAATGAGCAGGTTTCTCAGATTTCAGAAGAAGGAATCATTATGTTTGATTATAATACCAGTTATTTTCTCCTCATGTCTGGTTAAACGTCTTTTGTTTTCCTGCAGAATCATAAGGATATTTACTTCGTCCACATCAGGCAGGGAGGACTGTACTGGGTCGCCACGACCACGGCGGGCTCCTCGCCGTTCACCATTACCGAGTTTCTCAACAGGTACGAGGTCATCCGTAAGCTGACTGCTTGTGTTTGAGGACGGCTGTGACCTCAGACAGTTTGAGGCTCCTGAGCTGACTGAGCATGCTCTTTGTTGCAGGTTAGCAGCTCTGGTTAAAGATTACTGCGGCAGCCTATCAGAGAAGTCGGTGCAGATGAACTTCGCCCTCATCTACGAGCTGCTGGACGAGATCGTGGTGAGTCTCTGTGCTGCCCCCCCTTTTGGCTACAGGTGGTGCTGTAAAGTTTTAATATATGTAAAGAAGGACGTAGCCTCAAACCTGCACTCTTACAGACCTGAGGAAGACTCTGGTCTGACTGTGAAGAAGTCTTTGTGAAAATGAACGTATCGCACTTTTTCTGTGACCTCTGTTAATGCTTCACTGATGAGTTCATGATCTCATTCATTTCCCATGAATTTTCTTCCAATTATCCAAAGT